GAAAATATTGTTTAAATAGAACCTTAAAATTGTAATAAAGCAGCAGATGATCACTGACTCCTGACTCTGCTCATCCCTCTCGCGTCGACGCCTTACCCACCCAACAGGGGACCCTTCACCCCGCCGCGGCTGGAGTTAGTTCCAGGGTGACTGAGAGCCCTGGCAGAGAGCAGGGAGGGCCTTCTCTTGCAAAGGGCTGGGCTCTGGAGGCTGGGCAGCTGGATTATCAACTGGGAGACCTGAGAGGGCTTCACTGCTCACAGACCCTCAGCGTGGAGCGTGGGCCACTCGAACTGCATGCTGAAAAGAAAGGAGGAGATAGGGCGTTGGAGGAAAGGTGCCCCCAATCAGAACACAGACAAGGCTGCACGGTGTCATGACAGGAGCATTAAATTGGGTCAGGAAACCAGGTTTCCAGCTTCCTTTTCTTTTAGGAGGCTAGAGACCTTACATTCAAAGATAACCTTTAGAGACAAATTTATTACGTCTTAAATAGAACAAAGACAAGGCATAGAATGAGAGAGACAGTAGATAGGAGGCCATGATGGCGTCTAGGGACCTTATAGAAAACTGGCCCCTTCATTAGGATATGGGAGTACTAGGGGAGACGTCACACAAACATGGTGATGTCACAGTTGCAGGTGGGACTGCGACCATGATTGGGACAGGTACTAAAGCTGCCCCTTTGGGTTTTCCAGGCTGTCGATCTTGACAGCAGAGAGGGTCTTCTTCCTCCCTTGGAGAGGCTGAGTTTGAACTGTTTGCAGCCCCCCACAAAACGGCCAGACCACCAAAGCTCCTTCCGGGCTGGCTAGGGAGTCCTAGTGATCCACCTTCTAAGGCACTCTACCACTTCCCAAGTTTAAGGCTATTTCCCAAACTCAAAACCAGCTCACTGCCACAGCAGGAGGGCCTGCCTCTGAGTTTTTAACTGTTTCCGGGGAGTAGGAAGCCCCAACTTTGTACCTTTGTGGGGGACACTTGTAGTTTCAAACTGCAGACTTTGAGGCTTACAGCCCAACGCGTAGCCACTACACCACCAGGGCTTTAAAGGTGACCAGATTTTAACATTGGTAAAGCGGGACACCATTGA